CGGCGGCGGGATCCCGTGCCCTTCCCTAACGGTGTCTTGCATCGATGTGCTCCGGGGAAACTTCCCATCCAGCAAAGAAGCAGCAAGTTTCTCGTCTTCGCCTGCAAAGCAAGGACAGGGCGATCAGAGGGGACGTCCCCAGAGAACCAGAGCAAATTGGCTGTGATGTGACATCTCTGTTGTCCTCCACCCCGCTTTCCTTCTGAGGCGGCTTTCCACTTCAGCTTGTGGTGCGAGCAATTGTGGTTTGGCCTTCTGCTCACGTTCATGTTCACTTTCACTTTCACTTTCACTTTCACGCTCACATTCACTTTCACATTCACGTTCACATTGAGGGCAGCCACAGCCTCTCACGATGCCTCACATTGTTTTAAATCCATTGAATGGCTGCACCCAGCACTTCCCAACTGGGCTGCACGCTTCCCAACCACGTTGGACACTTCCCAACCCCACCGAACATTTCCCAACCGCGTTGAACACTTCCCAACCACGTTGCACACTTCCCAACCGCGTATAACATTTCCCAACCAGGCTGAACACTTCTCAACCATGTTGAACACTTCCCAACCCCACAGAACACTTCCCAACTGCGTTGAACACTTCCCAACCAGGTTGAACACTTCCCAACCATGCTGAACACTTCCCAACCACGTTCAACGCTTCCCAACCATGTTGAACAGTTCCCAACCACGTTGAACGCTTCCCAACCACGTTGAACACTTCCCAAACAGGCTGAACACTTCTCAACCTCATTGAACACTTCCCAACTGCGTTGAACACTTTGCAACCATGTCGAACACTTCCCAACCCCATTGAACACTTCCCAACCGCGTTGAACACTTCCCAACTGCATCGAACATGTCACAATCAGCCCGAATGCTCCCCAGACCAAGGCAGCAGCCGCAGAACCGAGTCCTGGCTCACCGGAGCCTCCCGACACCCAAGCGCCAACACGCGAGACGGCTGAGCACCGCCAGGTTGTGCTGCTCGCAGCAAACCCCAACGCCTTCCTGGCGCTCTCTGCGCTCGTGTCGCACCCCCAGGGGCTGCATATGCTCCATGCGCCAGACAGAGCAGGGTCTCGCAGAAACGTGCATATGTCAAGAATTGTGAGTACCCGAGGCAGTCGGATTGTGCCATTCTTACTCCTAACTTGCTATCTGGGTGCACAGAGAGGGATTTTCCAGGTGCTGGTAACACTCAGAGCACGAGGAGCTTGCTAGGTAAAGTAATAGGAGGAAAAAATCCCTTAATATAGCAAATACGGTGCAAGGACTCGTGTGGATGGAAGCCACCAGTGCAGCTTGGCCAGCCCCTGTGTCTCTTCCCTGTGTCCTGCTCTGCTCATCCCTTTCTTGCCATCCCCCTCCTCCTCCTCAGCCACAGCTCCACTGTTTTTGAGGTTTCCTGGTTTGAGCTCAACAGAACTGATTTCCTATGCAGTCATTTCACTTTCCAGCTCAGTCTCTTCTCAGGGGCTGAACTGTATGACACTATCAGCATGTTTTTCCACAGCGTGCACTTCTACAAGTGATAGTGCTGGGATGTGATGGAAACATGGCAAGGCCACTGGCTCACCATGGCTGCCGTGGCTGCACCTACAGGAGGAGCAGACCCAACCCTGCCCAACCAGGGATTGCATCCCACACACCCACACTCAGTGCAAAGCCCAGGGATCCCCAGGGGCTCCACCCTTCCACCTTGGACCCTTCCTTCCCTCTCCACCCCTGCAATGGCCCAAGGCCCAGCAGACCCTGCTGCTTCGCCTGCCTCTCATCCTCAGCCCTGTGTTCCTGCATCCTGCTCATCTCAGCTGAGCTGGGAAGCTAAGCAGGGTTGGGCCCGGTCAGTGCTTGGATGGGAGACTGCCTGGGAATACTGGGTGCTTGCTCCCACTGCTTCTGGCTCCAGACTGGGACTTTTCCAGTGCTCCCAGAGCCTCTGGTGACATCCTCGTCATTGGGGGAGGATTTTATATTGGTTTTGTATATATATATTTGTACATGTCTGTATCTATTCCATTATTTTCCTATTTACATTATTATCCTGCAGTATCAGTATTTTTATTTCATTAAATCTCATGTTTTCTTTTTCAACCTGTAAAGTCCCTTCTTCTCTTTTCTCTTCCCTCCTGGGCAGGGCAGAGGGGTTCACAGCGAGTGTGTGCCTGTGGTTTAGTGGCCAGCCCAGTGCTAACCCATGACACTCTCAGGATGGCAAAGAGCCATGTCCTGGCACTGCCGCTCGGTGACCACCGGCGTTTTTGGCTCCAGCGCCTCCTCTGTGACATCCCCCAGTGCTCAGAGGGCTTTGGCAGCTGCACCCCAAATCGCAGCCGTGGTTTCACCGAACGCCTGCAGACTCAGTGCCCGCTGGGGAAAAAGGGATATTTTGGCCAGCGAGCGCTGCAGTTTCCATCTCATCACACTGCTCAGCCCGTTGCTGCCTTCAAAGCAGTGCTATTTTTATTAACACAGTTTGGGGGTTTTAATACCAAAGCAGCACAATGAGCTGGAAGCGCCAACCAAGCTCAAAGAGAGACTGGACAAAGGCACCGAGGATGTGCTTTTGTGGGGTGTTATGTTCAGAAACCTCTGAACCAGAGACAGTGGCTGCAAGGGGGAGCATTCAGGAGAAATATCTCATCCATGCCCTGTTTCCACGCTACCCTGGGCATCCGCCCCAGAGCGATGCTGAAGACCGGCTCCTGCACTAGATGGAGCCGTGGTTTGGTTCAGCACAGACATTGCCATGCTCCTCACAGCATGAAAAGCCAAAAAAACCCCTTATGGCTTTCCTGCTTCATACTCGGGACGGCCCAGAGTGGAAATAGGGAGATTTCTGCTTACGGTGCCCAAATTGCCCCAAACATGGCCCAGCGCCACTGGAGCTTGGCATGGGGCTGTGCTGGCCGTCCCAATGTGGAGGACATGGGCATTAAACTGGACCTGGCTCCTCTTCCTCCCGTCTCCTGGCCTCCAAAGAGGGGACTGGGCAAGTGGTGGCCAGCCCAGGGGAGACCCTGCTGCAGGGAGGAGTTTTGGGTTTATTTCACACAGCTGCTTCTGCAATTATCCGTTTTATTCTCATGATTGCCCAGTTGTTGTTCTCTGCCGTAAGACCACAGCATGACCGAATCCCAGGTTGAAGGGACCCCCAAGGACCATCCGGTCCAACCTCTGGAGGTAAAAGCATCGTTTAAATGAGAGCAGTCAGCCCCTGTCAAGCTGACTTCAAACTGAGCAGTGCAGGGGAACTCACCACTTCCCTGGGGATTGTTCAGTGTCTGATTGATGGATTATTGCAATTTCTGATTGGTGGATTATTGCAATTTCTGATTGATGGATTATTGCAATTTCTGATTGATGGATTATTGCAATTTCTGATTGATGGATTATTCCAGTATCTCATTGATAGATTATTCCCATTTCTCATTGATAGATTATTCCCATTTCTCATTGATAGATTATCCCAATTTCTCATTGATAGATTATTAACCCAGTCTCCTCCTCTGCCATTAGCATCCCTCCCCCATAATTTTCTAACACAGGACATCCAAAGCTCTTCCAAGTTCAATGAGCAGCTTTACATCTCGAAATCTATGATTTACATCTCAAAAGGACCCAGAGAGGCCAGAGGAAGGGGCTGCCAGGAACTCCATGGATTCCAATGTAAAAATCCCACACTGAGAAGGAAGAGCCCCTGGCAACTGGGCAGACTGGGAATCACCTCTGCGGAAAGGAGCTCATGGGGCCCGGTTGGGACTGAAGTGACCATGGGCTGACTTGAGGTTATGGAGAAGATAAAGGCAATGGGGAGGTTATGGAGATAAAGCCAATGAAGTTATGGAGATAAAGCCAATGGAGATACCGAGACAAAGCCAATGGAGATACCGAGACAAAGCCAATGGAGATACCGAGACAAAGCCAATGGGTTGAATGGCTTGAATGAGCTCCGTCCCCGTGAAAACCAACATCTCCTACTGCTCCTCAGCGGGAAAACCCAAACACGGGGGAGATCAAGGATGGGAGAGGGGGAGGGAAGCACATTCTGGGCAAGGTCTCTCTGCTCTGCTCGCTGTGCATCGCACCTGAGCCCTGCGTAAGCCACGGCTGTTTGCTCATCGCTCCCTGTGCTCTGCTGGGGACGCTGCTCCATGCTCCGCTTCCCACCTCTGCAACCTTGATAGGAGGAGGTAATGAGGGGAGGTCAGGCTCTGCTCCCCATAACAAGCGATGGGATGAGAGGAAATGGCCTCAAGTTGTGCCAGGGGAGGGTGAGGTTGGATCTGAGGGGAAATTTCTTCCCCAAAGGGTTCTCAGGGCCTGGCAGGGGCTGCCCAGGGCAGTGGGGGAGTCCCGATCCCTGGAGGGGTTCACAAACCACGCTGTGATGCTGTGATTCATCGCAGTGAAGACACACACACATCCCACAAAGAGCATCAAGGCATCACCGGGCTCAAACTACAGAGGTTGGCGCATGCAGGAATGAAGAGTTTGAGTCAAAACGGAGCCTCCAGCCACCAGCAAAGAGCCCAGACTGGGGGTACCCAGCGTCACGGGTCCAAGATGAGCATCATGGTGCTGGGTTTGTGCCCACAGTGCAGCTCAGCAGCACCAGGAGCCTCATGGCGCCCCCTCTGCCGTCACCTCTGCCACCCCCTTCGCCATCGCCAGCTGCTCGATGCAGCATTCATCTCCAAGGAAAACACAAAACCGCTCCGTAATGCCTTCGGGCCGGTTGCCATAACAGCCTAAATCCCTGTGAGAAGCTGACTCTGTGCATTAATTGGGGCTGGCAAACGAGGCAGATCCCTCCAGAGCCCACCCCCTGCTGCCAGCCTGGCTTTCCCATGCAGGGATGGGGAGCAGCTCCCGACGCCAGGAAAGTGCCAGGAAAGTGCCGAGCGCTGCAGTTCCCATTCAGAACTGGGAAACAGGAGAACGTCAGCGTCCTCGGAGCGGGGCTGGCATCAGCTCCAGGCAACGCAGAGCTGACGGGAGCAGGAGGAGGAGGAGGAGGAGGAGGAGGAGGAGGAGGAGGAGGAAAGCCCGGGCCCGTC